CCAACGTCGGAATTTTGAAAAAATTTTCGTCTACTACCTGATAAATCACATTTCCAGTGATGCTTTTTCGGGCAAAATCATGAGATTCAGGTAATTTATAGGCCCAGAGAAAGTTAATTTACAAAAATAAGTGTGAATTTGGAAAAGAATGAGGTTAATTTACAAAAATGTTTGGATTTTAGGAAAATATTTTGGATAAATGGAGAAAATTGCTGATGTCCGGAAAATTTTTTTACGTCGCGAAAAATTTTGGTATGTCCGGAAAAATTTTTTGACCCCTAGAATGGTACACTGACCAAAATTTTTTTGGCGATTTCATGTACAAAAAAATATTTTCAGGTAAATTTCGAACTTTTGATCTACAGAGGTGCCCTTTGGTGTGCGTCTGCCTCCCTTTGCCTTTTTATCGTTCCGGCGTCCCTGGCCATACTCGGTATTTGGTCGTGGCAGAAAGTGAGACGAATTTGAACCTCGTAAATTATAACTGTGCCTGTGGATATGGTTAGAATTGATGAGAACCGCGACGGTGCCTGGTGCCAAATTATTGACAACCTTAAACATGAGCCTGGACCATAATATGTTTTCGTCTTTCTTCCAAGCTTTTCCACCCTAAAATGATCAAGGGTCAGTTGAGATTGCCCAGGCTCATCTTCAAAGTTCATTATAATTCTAGCATATCTGTTGCGGAGTTTTTGTAGCCGTTCAGACTGGCCTCTACTAATGGTTCCGAACTTCACAACATGGCATGGCCCTCGCATGGCCCTCTCTGCACGCCCACCTTGTTGACCACTTGCCAGGGTTTATTTTAAGAAAAATTTAGAACTGCACATATAGGGATGTTACGAAAGCAACGGGTGTTTGACTGGGGGGAGGGGGATGAAAGGATTTTTTACCTGCATATAAGTGACAGAATAATGGTGTGGTTGGGTGGGAGAATTTGGGCGCAGGAGCTAGGCGGGGGGGGGGGGGATGTGCACGTGTTCCCCAAAACAATTTGTATCTAGAGGCTCTTAAGTTCTGGCAAAGATTTGTTTTACCCAACCACTCACAAAAACAGTTTCAAAACATGTAACTGGGAATCATGGATATTCAATACTGATATAACAACCTTAAATTTGCATTTCAGGCAGCAAAGAATATTAGGTTCTCCCACTCTAATCTCTTTTGGGGAGCTTCGCTCGCCAGAATTTTACCTTCTTTTCCATTACCCCAGCACGTAAGTGACTTGTGAGGAGAATAGGAGGGTCTGAGATCCTCTCCCAGAAAACGTTTATATTTTTTATGCTAAATGACAGCATTTCTGGCATTTTCTGGAACATCCACAAGGGTAATGGGTAAATGAGAAGACTGTTTTAAGGCTATTTTTGTTAGTTTGGTGACTGCACATTTGTGTTTTAAGAACTGCAGATTGAGTAATCAATCTCGTACCCAGGTTGTGTACGAGGATGTTAAGTAATAGTCTACAGTAGTAGAAAGCGGGGAACGAGGGACGATAAGCCTGTGAATCAATGGTCATTTTAAGAAAAAAAAAAACAGAAGGACGAGTGAAAATATGTCTGCCAAAAACTGGTTGCCGTTAACGAATCACCCTGTTCGGCTATGAACAAATAAGCTCAGAACATCATAATTTTTAATAAGTTCTTTGTTGGATTTTCTCTAGAATACTGAAACATGGGTTCCAAATGTTCAATCCTCAACGATACTCAACGCGTTGTATGGATCACACACGGAATAAATTGGCCGTCTTTTGTTGCTGTCGTTAGTTTCCTGTTGTCCCTAGCTACAGTGTGTGCCGGTGCGATAAATATACACGCGGGGAAGGCGCTTGCTAGCTGTTTTCGATGGTTTCATTGGAAAGCTTCTATTGTGTGGTACGAACGAAGCTCAAAAGAAAAGAGCAGATAGGGCTTCGGCTAAATTGATCAAGCCTGGTGAAAAGTACACGTGGTCTGGTACACTATCTCTCCACATGCGTGTCTATGTTATGAACGATAACCTACAGTATGACGACAGAGCGTGTTTTACTGGTCCCACTGCAGGCTCCGAGTACGTCTACCCCATTTCCGAGTATTTTAAAAAGCTCGACGTGAAGACCGCGACTAAGAACGCATGACATAAAATTTACATCTTTTTTTTCCAACCTCGGAATTTTGAAAAAATCTTCATTTTTTTTTTCCAACGTCGGAATTTTGACAAAATTTTCATTTTTTTTTTCCAACCTAGGAATTTTGATAAAATTTTCATTTTGACTTTTCCGTCCCGCTCCGGGACAACCTTAATTGAAATAGCTGTATGTAGATCCTGGAAATTTGAAAATGTACGCTGGAAATGCCATGGTACGTAAAACCTGGTTAGGTCGCTGTCTTGCGCACTTCTCTGCACGTCCAGCTACTAGGCAACGAACACCTGTACACAACAAACAGCAAGTTTCGGTGATGTTTAATGAGGTCATGACGACATGAGGTACTTCCCCGAAAAGGCAAGGATAGGGTATATATAAATTTCAGTAATCAGACTTAAAACACACACACAAGTGCGACGACAGTTGACCTTACTTTACTTTTCAACAAACAATTTCAGGTCAGTAGACAGTATATAATTATATATTATATATAGCTTGATACGTAACAAAGTTGGTGCTTATTTTTTTATTCGTTTTGACAATTTGATAAAATGCAAAGGAAACACTATAAAATTTATTGAAACATTTACAGTTTGAGAATTGTCGATGGTGTTGCCATGTTGGGCCAATGTTGTATTCCGTATATATGCATGCATGAGGGATTGTGTATTTAGTATAATTTGGTCCAGTCAAGACTGTCCTTTATTGGTTCAGTGTCACTACTAAACTGAACTAACTTGATAAGAGTCGTTACCAAAGAGGACGAATTTGATGTACCTGGACCTCCAAACCAGCCTGCGTCCCAGACGCTCGTGGGCGAAAATGAGGGCGCTAAAGTAGCGCGTCTGTGTTTAGCACTTATCACATTACACACACAGACTATGTTGTAGTCTACCAAAAAACTGACCTGTGATGTTTGATAGAGGAAACTAAAACGACATGGAAGCATTCTTCGGCATAAAAAGAAATGAATATTTTATCATGTAACTGTAAACACTTTGTAAATTGGCAAGCCAAGAACGGATATTACTTAAGATATGCTTAAATTGTAAAAAAAAATTAACACAAAAATAAGGGAAGTTTCCCGAACTTTTAGGCTCTTACTCTTGTACTTTAATTCACAGTATTTCA